AGAAAAAATAGAAAGCTAGTGTTTGTTTTTTTTTTGTTTTTGTTTTTTTAAGAATTGAATTAGAGAGCTCTCTAATTGAATTAGAGATCTCTGCAATTACATTCTTACTAGTAAGAATTGAATTAGAGAGCTCTACAATTCAATTCTTACTAGTAACAATACCAACTAGAGATCTCTCTAATTCAGTTCTTACTAGTAAAAATGCAATTATGAGAGTAACACTGGGATTATTTTAAGATAAAACGGCTTGCCATATGCTTTGAAAGGTGAATGTGTCCAACTGATCTATAATAGAGAACAGTCTTTATATAGATCAGTGGTGTGTGTAACGTACTAGCCTAAACATTATTGATTGTAATTTTGCATATGTTCAGATTCACCTTGTATCTTCTGTGTTTCTTTTTCAGAGGCCATGGACAGGCTTTCTTTAGAGGTCCCAGCTTGTGAGTGTATTCTTCAGGAAGAGCTTCAGAGGTTTACTGCCAATTTTGGGTCTTTGTTTTTTACCTATTCTTTCCATGGGATTGCCTCCTGACTGGATAATCTACCAGGAAATTTGTGTTTGACAAAATTCATTTGTGTTTAATTCTGATATTGTGCTTATATGTTTCATATGTTTTCACATATTTTGTATAATTTGTTTTATCTTAATTTCTAGGTTCAAAAGGCTACTAGTCAGTCAGTGGAGGCTGAACGGTCAAAGATCCAAAAATTTCTGCACAGACTCAGTCTTGTTTCATGCGCAGGTGAGACCAGTGCAGTGCATATTTCAAACTATTGGACAATAACAATAGCAATGCTGATAATTTCCTGCAGTTGCACTGAAATAAACCAAAACTTTCACCATTAAGGTGAGTTATGTAATGTTTTATAAATTAATTTGTGATAATACTGTTGCATATTTAGAATTTTTTATTAATTGTGAGTGAAACTATTATTCTCTCTCCTCATGTGAAGGTCTGATTCTGCATTTTCATCTATTTTAGGTGAAAATCATGTTTGAGATTAGGACAGAGATTAAACAACACACGAACAAATGTTCAGGTTGTCTAAATAAATTTATACACTGCCTTTCAAACGTTTTGGGAAATTAAGACTTCTATTCAGAATGAACACCTTAAATTGTAAAGATATTTATCAAACTACAAAAGATTGCTATTTCAAAGAAATACTGTTCCTTTAGACATTCTGTTCATCAAAGAATCCTGGAAAAAGAATCATGGTTTCCACAAAAATATTATGCAGCACACCTGTTTTCAGTATTGATAGCAGTAAGAAATGTTTCTTGAGCACCAAATCAGCACATTAGAATGATTCCTGCAGGATGATTTCTGTGACAATGAAGACAGAAATAATGACTTGTTTTAAAATGATATTTGAAAATATAAAAAAATATATATATTTTGCAATATTACTTTTTTTGCTGTATTTTTGATCAAATAAATCCAGAGTATAAGAGACTTATTTCAAAAGCATTAAAATCTTACTGACCCCAAACTTTTGAATGGTAGTGTAAATGATAATAATAATAAAATAGAAAAACTTGTTTTTTATACATTTGTTGCTCTTATTCTTCTCTGCAAGTAATGATATGTTACAGGTCTACTCATTAAACCCACTCTTTTTATTTTTAAAAACAGTTTGGGTGTAATTGTCCTTATTTGCTCTTTTATAGTGGAGAGACAGGAAGTAAAGTTTCAGTGAAGGATCACAGCATTACTATAGACACTGCCAAATACGGACAGTCAGTTCCTGCACATTTGTATTAAATAGAACAGCTTATTGGCAAGCAGAATCAACACCCCAGATTGGTCATTCAGTTTTAACATACTAAATATCTCTACTTGCATTTTGTTGGTCTTTGCACATCTTATTTCTGTGATTTTATTACGAAGGAGTCCATTCTCTGTACGGTGTCTCCCGTCCTGTCCACAAATGCACCCAGTATTGGGAGACACACTGAGCTGTGTGCTTCCCACCGACACAATAGAGGCTGAACTGTGTGGGGAAATGAGCATGGTTACCATGGCAACACTTGCACCCTGTATGGATCAGTATTCCAACTGGCCCACTCGTCTCTCATGCATACGGATATCCTTTGTGATGTTCACATAAATATCGTTATTAAAATTTAAGAGCATGCATGATTTTAGGCTACCTGCCCTGTCTTAATTGTGATTCCAAAGCTGATTCTTATTCATATTTATGAACAAAAAATATATTTTGTTGAAATAATGTTTTCCTTAACATTCAGTACACATGTTAATGTACAGTCCATGCCTTTAATGCAACAAGCACAGACGAGTTTCCTCCAGAGTTTGGCTACTTCACTCTCCTGGGCAGATCTCGGCCTTTCTAGAGTCTGTTGTATGGAAGCACAAAGCATCCAGGATAAATTATAGGACTAAATGGGGAGAAATTGGGGATACTGAGAGTAAATTCCCTCACTGTGTTATAATTTTATGGATGAAAGCCTCGCTGCAAAGCATAAAGGGCACTGTGCTACAAATCACTGTTGGCTTTGAGGCTAGAATTGTTCAGACAGTTTTCCAGCATGTGTATATAGGTGCATCTCAATAAATTAGAATGTCGTGGAAAAGTTCATTTATTTCAGTCATTCAACTCAAATTGTGAAACTCGTGTATTAAATAAATTCAATGCACACAGACTGAAGTAGTTTAAGTCTTTGGTTCTTTTAATTGTGATGATTTTGGCTCACATTTAACAAAAACCCACCAATTCACTATCTCAACAAATTAGAATACTTCATAAGACCAATAAAAAAACATTTTTTAATTTATTGAGATGCACCTGTATATTATTTAATTCTGGCTTTTTTCTTTATAGGATCTCTGTGTTCTGATGTAGAATTCTCTCTTGAAACTGACTACAGTCAGGAAACAAGATGTAGTTATACTGTACAGCAGAACATTGGGTAAGAATGGAGCCATGCTGTTGAACAGACTCTGACTGTCTTCATTTTCACTCAGTACTCTGACCCTTTCCGCTCCCAGATCTCCGACTTCATAAGTGAGTCACATTTGCTTTCCCGATCATATAGACATCTTGAGATGGGTCATAATATTTTGAAATTCTGCTTTTAAATGTGTCCGGCAGTGAGGAGGTTTTCGAGAGACACTTGAATGCAGTTCTTTGGTATATGGCGATCAAGTGAGTCAACAGTGACTCTACAGTCAACCCTGAAAAACACACTGAAAGAATGTCAGCGAAGACATGTTGTAAGATTCTTCTGTTAACTTCATTTTTTAATTAAGTTTACTTAAATTACCATTCAAAAGTTTGGGAGTCAGTAGATGGTTTTAAGAAATTAATTATTTTATTTTTGACACATTAAAAACAGTAAAGACTTTTACAGTGTTACAAAAGCTTTCTATTTCAAATAAATGCTGTTCTTTTGACCTTTCTATTCATCAAAGAAAAATTAAAAAAAGAAAGAAAAACAGAAAAAAAAACATGAAAAAAATTGTCTTGAGCACCAAATCAGCATACTAGAATGATTTCTGAAGGATTGTGACACTGAAGACTGAAGTAATGATGCTGAAAATTCAGTTTTGCCACCACAGGTATAAACTATAGTTTCAAAATTAATTAAAAAAATATTAAAATAGAAAACAGTTCTTTTACATTGTATAAAAATGTTTACAAGCCTACTGTTTTTACTTTTGTTTTATCAAATAAAGGCAGCCTTGGTGAACATAAGAGACGTTTTTCAAAAATCAATTTTAAAAAATCTTACCGACCTCAAACTTTTGAACATATACATGTAGTGACACTACAGCCATTAGTCATTGTTTATAGACCACTGAACCATACATCTTTTCTGTGTATACTTCAGGCCAGGCAGAGGTTGGATTCTGTCATACCCATTGTGTTGAGCTCAATGAACAGTATAATTGCCAGCAGCTGCAGTGGAGAGTTTTGAAGAGCCTGTTTTGATAGCATGCAGGTATAATATATGGCTATAATTTATACTGGCTACCAAGACACCCTATTTTATGTGTCATTTCACTTCTTATTCTTAAGAACAGTGCTTACTTGTGAAAGTTGTAAACAATGTTTTAAAACTGGGTTTGTTTTAGGTCAAGAGCACCAGCGAATTACGTGTCTCACTATGACAGTCTCTTCAAAGCATCATGGATGGGCGCTTTGCTCCAAGGCGCGTGTGTAGTAACGAAAAGGTGCTTTTGCAAAGCTTCTTTCAGATTATTTCATTTCTGTGTTCATGATTTTGTCTTTGAACATTTGTGATTTTAATGTCCTCACAAGGTGGTGGAGGCTGTTAGCTCTTAACAGAGTAGTCTTGATGGCTGGGAGGAAGGTATGTTTTTGAGTGAGTTTAATAGTCTTCATACAATAATTCTTCCTAGAACTTATCTGATTCTGGGAATTTTGTCATTATAATTGTTCTAATTTCATGTCTTTTGGGGGTTATTGATTTTAAAGCGCCACAGAAATCATTAATAGAGTTGGCTGAGGTTGTTATATTTTGAAAGATGTTGATTCATCCTTTTTTAGAGTTTGAAAATCCACCAACTGTCTTCTAAGAGGATTCACTGTGACCTTCAATACTCAAGCTTTATCCCCAAGAAGAGACAAAGTTCAGAGATGTTCTCTGAGAATTCAGACACCTTCATGAACAGTGTCTTTGAGGCAGCAAACATCCAGAGAAATCCCCTGTCCCCAAAACAGCTTCCTCAAAGTCAGCAAACCAGAACGATCACGGACAAACTCTCAGCACTGAACCTGGCTAAACTGAAAAATGAACAGGTGGATAACTCTACAATTATTGGGAATACTGTATGCCATTTGTTCAATCTGACATGTAGCCCAGAAGAACGCAATCACAAAAAGATGTCTATACAGTACAATGCATATCCTAGCTGTTTTGTTATCTCTCTTTGTGAAGGTGGAGAAGCAGTGGCTTCAAGAGCTTGAAAACTTTTCTGAATGGGACTGACGAAAATACAGTTGCGTTTGCTCACATCTTCAAGACATATGTTGAAAAATATTTTTCCTTTATACATCTTTGTATATTCAACTGTACTGTGTAAGTTTCAAAGATACAGTTTTTGTTGTAATTTAATAGTATGTTTTTTTTATTATTTATTTTGTAGGCTACATTAAAATTCACAAGGAATGTATCCTTATTTTTGTGTTAAATGTATATTCTGGACATATACACTAATGCCTACTATATATGTTTCTCATCTTAAAACCATTTTGTTCTTGTACTTAAATGTTTAAAAAGCTTAAAATTATTATTATTATAAATTGGGCCGACATGAATTTCCAAAACCAAATCTTTAATTTTCTATTTTTAAATAATGAGTCAGACCAACTTAGCAACCAGCATAGGATGTATAATTATGTTAGTTTAAAACTTCACAAATTAAGAACGTGATCAATTTTGACTCTTTAAAATAGTTTTATAGTCTTATAGATATCTTAAAGGGGTCATATGATGCGATTTCAAGTTTTCCTTTCTCTTTGGAGTGTTCACTGCTCCAGTGATGGGCTCCTCCCCTGTGAGACCGCTCTACGAGACTGCAGGCGCAGTTTCAAAACTAATGCGCTCTCGTTCAATTACTCATGATCTCGCGAGCTCTCCGTCTTCACTGCTTTCGGTGTTGGTACTATTTTGTTATGGACTGTGTTGAGTTAGCCGCCCACCACTAGTAAATAATGGATCGAGCTTCATAAAGGTAAATAATACCTAACGGATTGTCTGTTCTTTCAGCTTCTGTGTGTAATATGTCTATAATTACCTCAGCAACTGTAGCATCTTGCTAAGATGTAGCTGTCATGCTAAGCTAACTGAAAGGCACCGGCTGCAGTCAGCTTCAGTTAGCAGTGTGTGTTGTTATCAGAGCGGCAGTCTTCACTTAATCTGGTCGAAATTAAAGCAGTCGTACGTTCAGACATCTGCTGCTTGGCTCGGGGACGCGTTGTCAGGATATCTAGCCGGGTACTGATATCATGGGGTGGTAATTCTAAGCTTAAGCTGATCTAGAAAAGCATACAAGTGTTTATACTGTCGGAACTGGTTTTAAATGTTTCCTACTTTTGACTTTTACTGAATTGAAAAGGTTTTATGTAACTGTATGAAGTAGTTCTCTTTGAACTTACTGTCACATTTAGCTAATTAGCTGATGGAAGTGTTCAAAATGTGAGATAGATAAGATGGGTAGATAGATAGAGAGATAGATAGATAGATAGATAGATAGATAGAACTGTCACTATGATTGTGGACAACATTTGTTTACACAGGTTCTATTAAAGTCCTGTGTAATGTGTAGAGTTTTGTGCATAGAGATTTCATGTGGATGGTCACATGATCAATCACGTTGCTCTAATAGGCTTAATCTGATGTTTGTAGACTAGTCTACTCTCCCCCTTTTTCACTGTATATGTTTCATTGTTGTTGATTATCGCATACATACAGGGACATCTATTTACTAACATAATGCACTGTAAATGTCCAGCAGGATTCAGTGTGTTCCTCCTGGACTTGCCACAGAGAGGATGTTCCCCTGCCTGGCCCACAGACCATGGCAAGTCCTCTGCCGGGTCTACCTGCTACAACGAGCCCCTTTATCTCAGAGACCCTCTAAAATAGCAAAGCCATGTTTTGGTGAGAGCTTCACGTAGTGTCATTTGCATGTTTTGTCAACATAAGGACTGAGAGACTGAGGATGTGTGTATTTAATTTTGTGTTTCATATGTTGTCACTCAACATTGGTAGTTTTAATAATTCTAGACTAGATCAAGAAATCATTCAGATTACGTAACTCATGAGTCGTGATACTCCATAGGTTGGCAAAGTGGAGGAGGTGTGCACAAACTCTGGTTTAGCTTCCCCGATTCCAGAGTCACTTCCTTAACGTGGACACAGATTCAGAACTGTTCCACAACAGGCAGTGATAAAGATGGATCTCCAGCAGGCCCTGTAGAGCCAAAGCCCACTGAGAAAGAACAAGCTGCACAGCCCTCTGCAAAAACAGCTGGTAATGATTTTTAGCATTATTTGATGTTTGTTCATAGGCATTTGAATGATGTCTAAAGTGTGCTTCTTTATGCTCATTTCTATAAACCATTTGTTTCTTAGGTTTTTCTGAGTAAATGTAAATAAACAGTGTTTTATAAATGTATTTATAAATTATGTAATGTATGTGTGGTAATTATGATTTATTCTAACTGTTAATGGATTTTAATCAATTAATTTTTCTCTTTTTTGCATTTCAGGTTCCAAACCTCGAGGTCTGATGAAAGCACAGAGCATTCAAGTGAAAGGTAGTGCAGTCTTGTTATACACACAGACACTTTGTAGCACCTTTCGGTCCAATAAAATTGTATATCGTGATTCTGTGTATTTGAACTATCTTGCATGTTTCTTGTGTTTTCAGTACGGGCTGTCCTGAAAAAAAGGGAATATGGCGCCAAATACACCCAGAATAATTTCATCACTGCAGTCAGAGCTATGAACGAGTTCTGCCTCAAACTCAGGTACCTTTAGGAAGTAGAGCTTTGTAGTTCACTTTGTAGTCATCCAGTTTGCTGCCCTTCCACCATCTTTACATTAAATCTATGCATTTTTGTGTGTTCAAAGTGACCTTGAGCAGCTTAGAAAAATCTGTCGACGTAGTCCCCATGATGACACCGAAGCCTTCACCGTCTTCTTGCGATCAGATGTGGAGGCAAAGTATGTACAACTGTCTTCTTATACTACCATTCGAAAGTTTGGTTTAGTAAGATACATTTACATTAACACTTACAGTTATTACTAGAAATCAAATTCCAAATAAATGTTGTTCTTCTGAACTTTTTATTTAGCGAAAAATACTGACCGTTTCCACAAAAATATTAAGCAAAAATATTTTTGATCAAATAATTGCAGCCTTGATGAGCATAAACAGTATAAAAACGTACTGACTTCAACCTTTTCAATGGTAGTGTACTGTATATACCTTTGGGCATCATGCACAAGGATCTGAAATTATGAGTAGAGAGATCAATTAGCATGTTTCGGTGTCTTTATTTAGAGCGCTGGCTGTATGGGGAAGTCAAGAGGCACTTGCTAGAGAGAGGAATCTCAGGAAGGAGGTGGAAAGGGAATACCAGGAAAGTATGTCATTCTCTCCTCATTTAATGCATGATCTGCATTCTGATGTTTTCATGTCATCTGCTGTCTAAATGAGCATCTGTCTTTCTCATAAGACATATTTAGAAATCAGAAGCTGTTGAAGGAGTACAAAGACTTCTGGGGGAACACAGAGGTAAAAACAAGTTCAAGCCTGTTGCTATGATTTTTATGTTTTGTTACTAGTGCCTGGGTTTAACCAGTCCTCGTGATTCATGATATTCCTCAGGTTCTTCTGTCTCTTTCTTCCATTGTACCTTTCTTGACATTTTTTTCATATTCATATCTTCATGCTGCTCCTAATTCAACCTCAAAGCAGAGCATAACGATGAGTACAGTTAGCTACCTGTGTTTTTGATCATTTTTGTCTCCTATAGCCTCGGTCTAGGAAGAGAGTGACATTTCTACAAGGGCCGGGAAAAGTAGTGATGGTGGCTATATGCATGTAAGTTTTACCAGCCTCATGCTATCTAGCTATTAGATTAAGGATATTGAGTTAAAAGACATGTGCTCCCACATGAGGCCTGACCCACACTGACTGGAAAAATTCCATATTATTCCCTCCGGTCCGCTAATGTGTTATTTCGCCAACACTTCGTGGCCTATGCATACTAGCTTGCTTGATTTACGTTAGTTACGTGCATTTACACGTTACGTTAAGTGTTTCCCACGTGAGGTACTTTGTGTTGTAGTTGCCATGATGTTCACCCATGCACGAAAGTTGACGAAACTACTACGATGGTACCTCAACGTTTCACAGACACACTGTGAAATTAATGTTGAATTGCTTTGCTTGTTAAGATAATGTAAACCCATGAGGCAAGAAAAACGTGAAAGCATATTCATATATCTTAAAACTTATGGTTACATGAGCCATAAGCTCTTTTCAATAAAATCCATGCAAAAGTTAATATCAGATCATTTTAGAATACAGTACAGGATGTACGGAATATTCTTCAGTTTTATGCAAAACAGAAATACGACAAACAGAATATCAGATCTCTGTCATATGGCCAAAAAAAAAGCTTTTTTGCATAGTTGTGTTTGACACATAAAACTGTAACAATGTATCTTACGAGGTAACACGATGTAAATTGCTCTCACTTGAAATGTGTCCCCACATTAAGTCCTTGAATTTGAGGGTATTGGACCTGGAAAGTCCTTGAAAGGTCCTTGAATTTTAAGTTAACCAAGGTGTGGGAACCCTGTATTACTGTTTTGAGCATCAGTGTATTTGTGCATCATGTGGAGATATAAATGTCTAATTTCATTTTTTCAAAATTGCAGAAATGGACTGAATTTTTTCTTCAAGCTGTTGGCGTGGGTTTATACAGGATCTGCCAGTATGTTTTCAGAAGCCATCCACTCACTGGCTGATACCTGCAATCAGGTAAGTTGGCATTCATGTCCGTATTACCACCTTTGACCTGAATGACATGCCTACAAAAGATGGTGTATGATTTAAAAATAAATAACATAGAGACATATATACTTGTTCATTCATTCAATTCATCTCTTATATTCTCTCTTTCACAGGCTCTTCTTGCACTAGGCATCAGCCAGTCTGTCCGGAACCCAGATGCCATCCATCCGTACGTACAGCTCATACAGGTTGATCCCTCCATGTTGCCCTCTGGTTATGTGGTCATGTCTAAGCCAACTGTCCTGTATTGTTAAAGGTACGGCTTCTCCAACATGCGTTACATCGCCTCTCTCATCAGCGGAGTCGGAATCTTCATGATGGGTGCTGGCTTGTCCTGGTATCACGGCATTATGGGACTCCTGCACCCTCAGCCAATAGAATCACTGCTCTGGGTTAG